TCGTAGCCGAGTAGTAATAACGTCGCTACCGTCTATAATTTAAAAAAGAAAAATTCTAACGGTAGTCTTAAACTAAAAAAGAGTACTCCTAGTAGGATTCGAACTCTCTTTTTTTTTACTATTATAGTAGCCGATACGTAATCCGGATCTAAGAAAATTAATAGATTAAGCCTCCGATCTAGGATCCGATCCGGCTTAGACCTAGTTCCGACCCAGTTCGGACCTAGTTCGGACCTGGTTCGGATCTACTTTAGATCCTAGGTCTAAACTAGGTCTGATCCTAGATCGATCCCGGATTGAGCCTTTGCAGGAGGCCAGTACTGAACCTACTAGGAGCACTCTTTTTTAGTTCAAGACTACCGTTAGAATTTTTCTTTTTTAGATAATTGTCACGGACAGGTCCACGGCCGTAGGAGTAGAGGTGTACTCCAAAAAGACTCGAATTCCAAGCAATTGTGCTTGGGATTCTGGACCTGTAATTGATATCCTACCACTAGTCACGTGCAGTTCGTGACACTTATAGGCGATAGCTACGTCGTTACCGCTCGGCCACGACGCCGTATATCGTATTTATAGTAGTATTTTCGATATATAAAACTATATTCTATAAATATTACGTAATAAAAAATAAAAATATCTTTTTTTAAAAGAAAAAAAATATTAATTTTCTAAGTTAAGTTACTACGTGATCCTTCGATCCTTCGATCCTTCGATTCTTCGATTCTTCGATATATTCATTAGCCTATAGTGATCCTATAGTGATCCTCGAGTAGGATCGGATCAGGATCGGATTAGGATCGAAGTAGGGTCGATTTAGCGTCGATATATGATCGATATAGGATTAATCCTTTATAGGACGGCATATATGTACTAGTAGTACCCGATTGTTCGTTCTGGGATATTACTACTTAGTACTACTAGTAATCAAACAATCGATTTCGAACCTCTTTGCGGTGGTCTTGTTCCAGCGGGTTAATAGGAACACGACTAATCCAAGCCCACATACAATGTCCCATCGATCAAATGTAAGCGCTTGTCCTTTTCTATTACCGGCTGTTCACAGCTTCGAGGCAGCCGAACCCCGTTTCTTTTTCTTTGCAACTCTCAGCTTGACATCCCTGGCCTCCTGCCTCACGGCCAGATCGAGCATGATCTCCTCGCTGCCACCGCCGACGACATGGACCCTGACATCACGACTAATCTGCTCGATGCGGGCGCCGCGGCCGGTCTTGGAATAGCCTGCACCGCCCATGATCTGCTGAGCTTCGCGACACACTCGCTCAAGGGCGCGGGTGGACATGACTTTGAGGAGAGCAGTCATTCCGCCGACATTGACAGGATCTGGAGAGGCGGAAGAAACGCTTCCGGTTGCTGCACCGGTTCTGGATTGTTGTTGTTTACGAGCCGTCTCGATAATAAAGCACAACTGCTCGAGAAAGGCGTGGGCAGGCTCGATGAGGAGGCCAAACGTGGCGATTTTGGCTTTTATGGCCGAGTGCTCGATCAGGGGTTTGCCAAAGGTCTCGCGCTCGCAGGCGTAGCTGTAGGCATCCTGGGCGCACACGCGGGCGAGGCGCAGGGCGGCCGTGGCCAGCGCCAGCCGTTCCGGGTTGAAGTTGGACATGATGAGTGCGAATCCTTTGTTTTCTTGTCCGATCAGATTTGACACGGGCACCTCAACGTCTTCGAATGTGATGTATGTTGAACCTATAATGGCGATGAGCATAACACACATAAAACAAAGAAGTATTGGTTTGTTTTACCACTCGCGTGAACACCCTGATTCTCCATTCTTCGGGTTGTCACACCCTTCGATCTTAATGGTATTACCAGCAAACTAATACCGCCGTGGCCTGGGCCTCCGGTCCGTACGGCCGCAGTGCAGTAGTCGGCCCAGATGCCGTTGGTGATCCATTTCTTGGCCCCGTTGACAAGATAAAAATCGCCTTGCTTCAGGGCGGTCGTCTTGATGTTGGCGACGTCGCTGCCGGCGTCGGGCTCGGTGATTCCCAGACAAAAACGAATCTCGCCTCGAGCCACCTTGGGCAACCACTTCTGTCGCTGTTCTCTGGTTCCAAACCTGCTGATAGGCGGACATCCAATTCCATTGCCTCCTCCTAGGCCCCAGATGGGGCCACACCATCCCAGCCGGTTCAGCTCATCCCCAACAATCACGCCGCACCATGTATCCCATTCATCGTAGGGAATGCCCGCGGGCAGTGCAATCCCACCGGCATCCTCGGGTTCAACCACCGGATGAACCACTGCGAATCCCAGTTGACAGTGTAAAAGTCGTGCGCTCTCCGGCACCTGGCCTGCGATTTCCCACTCTTGTGCGTACGGCGCCAGTTCCGTCTCGACGTAGTTGCGCACAAATGCCCGGAGTCGGTGGTGTTTCTCGGTGTAGTACGGGTTGTGGGGGAGATCGAGCTGCGGGAGGAGAGGTTCTGAAAAGGGCGCCGGGGTTCTTGAACTTGGTGCCATGTTGATATGGTATATTATGGACACCGAGATCAGAGTCGAAAAGGCACGAAGTGTGTGAGGAGAGACGGTCTCCCACACGAGCCTGGCTACTACATTACCGGAAGAGTTATATGTTCTAGGGCGTGGAGCGGAGAGGTCGAGGCGGAGTCAAGGATGGGCCTAGCCCTGCTTTCCTACCTTGGTAGCAGTCGCATGCAATAATGTCTCAGAGTTGAGAGGTCCAAGTCGTTCGAGTTGATTTACCCCGGGTGTTGGATGTTTGACTTGATGTTTCCGGCCTCCAAAACGCATTGAACCTCGGCTTGATTACCTCAGCAACGCTAACCAGATTTGGCTCATAGACGTCGCTTATTCAAGGAAGCAGCGTCATGATAATTATCATGACGGGAAGCAGTCAAAGCATCAACCATAGTAAATGCTGTCCACATAAGCGGACACACGCTTTAATGTGCTTTGATCTCAGACTAGGGGGAAGATGAGACCTGACTGAGAACCCCCGACGACAGACCCAGTCAGCTACTACCATTTCGAGTGTGGTCAACGCATGGGTGCTTGGGCCGCCCTTGCAAGGCTATCCCATGCTCGCAAGGAAGGCTATCCTCGTCCTTGACGGGCATTTGCATTTGCGGTGATGGAGTCCTTCATGGAGTTCCGGGACAATCAAGTCCCCGTGAATTCCGGCGATGGTACCCATGATAATGATGGAAATCGTGCCGTCAACGGTCACGAGTCAACCGACTCGCAAAACGCCACAAGGGAGCAAAACTCGAACCACGAGTCCAGTGTCCAGATCTTCGAACCGCTAGAAGTCAATGGTACTGACACTGACACCGACAATAATGAGAAGGAAGTGCCTCAGATGTATCCCATGTTCTCGAACAATCCTCCCGAATCTCCGAACCTGGGTCCTGGGCATCGAGATTCTGAAGACGACGAAGAGGAATTTGACCTTTCCAAATCGTTCAATCGAACTAGCAGCCCGTCGCCCACGGCATTTCAGCGCAATAAAGGTGCTCTGGTCAGCAAGGTGGGCGATGAGGGAGTCGTCAAGATGCACAGGTTTACTCTGCACGAAACGGCAAACTACTACTACATTGTTGGCTCTGACCTGCTGGACTCTGCCTACCGGATACTGAAGATTGACCGGACCGCCGAACCAGGCGAGCTGAACATCATCGAAGACGACATTGTCTACACCAAGAAGGAGACGCAGCAGATCCTCAACGCCGTGGACGAGGGAAACCGTGCAACAGGAGGCCTCAAATTGAAGACCAGCTTCTGGGGCTTACTGGGCTTCATCCGCTTCACCGCCCATTATTACATGCTCTATGTGACGAAAAGAAGTCAAGTTGCCATGATAGGCGGCCACTACATCTACCAAATCGACAAAACGGAGCTCATGCCCTTGGTCATGGCCGGATCAAGCAGGGCCAAAATGGACCGGCACCCAGAAGAATCTCGATTTCTCGGCATCCTGAACAATCTCGACCTGACCAGGTCCTTTTACTTCAGCTACTCGTATGATGTGACGAGGACGTTGCAGCACAACATCATGCGCGAGCGCCAAGCTCTACAGGATGGACTCGCTGAACCTCGCAAATACGATCACAATGATATGTTCGTCTGGAACCATTATCTTCTCCAACCCACAAAGGCAGTGCTTCGAGACCCTTTTGACTGGTGTATATCCATTATCCATGGCTATGTCGACCAAAGCGCGCTGTCGGTGTACTGGGGAAGAGTGGTCTACGTAACAATCATTGCCCGCCGGTCGAGGTTCTTTGCTGGGGCGCGATTTTTAAAACGTGGCGCCAATGATCTAGGATACGTCGCCAATGATGTCGAGACGGAACAGATCGTCTCGGAAATGCTGACCACCTCGTTCCACGCTCCCGGTCCGGTTCTCTTTGCCAACAACAGATATACTTCTTATGTGCAACACCGAGGCAGCATCCCTCTGCACTGGACACAGGACAATACTGGCGTGTCACCAAAGCCTGACATCCATCTGAATGTGGTGGATCCGTTCTACAGTGCGGCAGCTTTACACTTTGACAACCTTTTCAAACGCTACGGCACCCCAATATATGTCCTTAACCTGGTCAAATCTCGGGAACGAACACCGCGGGAATCCAAGCTGCTCAAAGAATACACCTTGGCAGTCAGTTATCTCAATCAGTTCCTGCCACCGGACAAACAGATCTTATACCATGCTTGGGACATGAGCCGAGCTTCCAAAAGCCGTGATCAGGACGTCATTGGGAGTCTTGAGGCAATTGCCGAAGACATTCTACCCAAAACCGGATTCTTCCAGAACGGCAATGACGAAGAGTCGGGACTGAAACTGCAAAACGGCGTGGCGAGGACAAACTGCATCGATTGTCTTGATCGGACCAACGCAGCGCAATTTGTCATTGCGAAAAAGGCATTGGGATACCAATTGCAAGCTTTAGGGGTCATTGAGCATCCCTCGGTCGAGTACGATTCAGACGCGGTCAATCTGTTCACGCACATGTGGCACGACCACGGTGATACGATTGCCATCCAGTACGGTGGCTCGCATCTGGTCAACACCATGGCGACATACCGCAAAATAAACCAGTGGACCAGCCACTCGCGGGACATGGTGGAAAGCTTCAAGAGATACTACACCAATTCATTCATGGATGCGCAACGACAGGAGGCATACAATTTGTTCTTGGGCAACTATGTCTTCTCCCAAGGACAGCCCATGTTGTGGGACTTGACGACCGATTACTACCTGCACCACTCGGATCCTCGATCCATGTTTGGGAGACGCAGGCCCAGCTATCGCCAATGGTACACGTCCCAATACCTGGAACCGCCTTCAATTCCGCCATCCATCTGGCCACGGGAACTGCGCGATCGGCCCCTGGGGTATTTCGACGACTACTGGGTCGAGTACTATCGGCCGCTGGCGGTTTCGTCGTTCAAGAAGTTGTTCTCTTTCAAGATGCACTCCAACCTGCGATACATCCCGCTCAACTCGGCGGCGGCCGGCAAATACGACCTGTCTCCGTTCAAAGTACGTACAGCGACCGAAGGCGACGGCGAGAGCAATGAGAAGGACCATCAACATCACCACCATAGTATGCGCAAGGGTGTCAAGGTCGTGGCGCCGTGCGACTACGATGATACCTGCGGTGCTGGTGCTGGAGGAGATACAGCGTCAGTCGTGACCTCTGCGCCGTCTGATCCTATGCCAACGCCAAAACCAAACACGCTCGGTCCATGGCTCGACGCCCAGCAACGGCTCCAAAACACGTTACGTCGACGTCAATACACGGGGATCATCAAGGAGCCGTCCTTTGAAGTGCAATCACCTGGAGTCCCCAAAATCCCAAAGCTCCCGACCGCTTCGACAGGTGACCTGACCAATAGTTCAGTTCTGGCCGGCCCGCCGACCAAAGAAGAACTCGCCCTCCAAGCCTTCACATCGCTTATCTCCAGGTCGCTCGAGCCGCAGGTCCGCCAAGAGGATGAGTATCAGCGCTACGTCGCACATCCGTCCAACATCCCGCTCGTGGTCTCGTCGGATATTGACTATTCGGCGGCCCCGCTGGAGTTTCTCGAGTATCTCAGCACTACCACTAGTGATCCTACCGAACATAAAGTGTTGCGCCATTATGATGACGAGCGTGGCGCTGTCAGCTTGACGCTGGATGAGCGCGCAGAAGCAAATCTCGACGAGTACGCCGAGTATATTGCCAGCGGGACCGTCGAAGAGCCTCTTACTGTATCCGAGGAAGACGGCGGGAAGAAGAGATACAAGGCCTACAGGAAATGGTTGAAGGGGAAGAGTTTGTTCAAACAGCGTCCGGATGTAGGGGAGGACGTGGATGTTGTTTAAGAGAGAATACGTTTGGTGGACTTTCAGACGAGATATGATGATTATTCCTAGGATCAGTAGAATTCTAGTGTAACCAACCACCATATAGATACTAAGGATATATGGTAATACACCCTTTTCGTGATCTATGTTTAATAGGAATAAAGGAATCAATAACGGCTCCAAACCGGTTATAAAGTACATAGTAACTTCGAATTAATTCTGAACTAGTTCCGTGAAATAGTGGAGATAATCTTCTTAGCCCGTACTAGAACCGACTTCCACCGCAAACCAGTATCTAATATATATAGTATATTATAGGGGCTATACTAGTAGTAGTACTTAGGATCAACACGGTGTCAACACAGTTCCCACATGGTTTCAATATAGTATCCGATACGGTTTCGAACCGTAGTAGAACTATAGTAAAACCGTAGTGGAATCGGTTCCACTACGGCTTCGAACCGGTTTCAATCCGAGTCGGCGTGCTTAAATCGGTGATAAAATTAACGTTTAGAACCGTATTAGAACCTACTATATCGGAACAATATTAATACAGTGTTAATACGGGTTTAAATCGGTTTCGAATTAATTTAGAACTACCTATATGTCTACGTTTTCCACTAAGTACTACTGTATATACTTCATTAGTGCGTCCGATAGTACGTCTAGCAGTACTGAGTACTTAGTATATACAGTACTAGCCAGAAATAGAGGCTCAATCCACGATCGATCTAGGGTCTGAGCTAGGTCCGAACCAGGTCTGAAGTAGATCTGATCCTAGATCGGAGACTTAATCTGTTGATTTTCTCTGATCCGGATCAGAGAAAGATCACGTATCAGGGTAGTAGTTGAAAAAAAAAAAGAGTTCGAATCCCGCTCGTCTCTTTTTTGGTTTAAGACTACCGTTAGAATTTTTCTTTTTTAAATTATAGGCGATAGCGACGTCGTTACTACTCGGCCGTATATCATATTTAGAGTAGTAATCTCGATATATTTATCTATAATCTATAAATATTACGTAGAATAAAAATTAAAAAAAAAAAATCCAATTTTATAACTTAAGTTACTAAGTGATCCTTTGATCCTTCGATACGTTAATTACCCTATAGTGATCTCTATAGTAATTAATCTTTTTATTGATCCTCTAGTGATCCTATAGTGATCCTCGAGTAGGATCGGAGTAGGATTAGAGTAGGGTCGATATAGTATCGAACCTATATCGATAATCCCTAGTAGGCGGGCATCTATGTACTAAGTGAGTTCAACGCTCGACAGGACGCTCGAAAGGACGCTCGAAAGACGCTCGGCAGGACGCTCGGCCGATAGGACGCTCGATAGGCAAGTACTATAAGTAGAAGAATACATAGTAATTAAGAAGATACGTATATAGTAGATATACTTAAACTAGTAGATATACTTAAACTAGTAGATATACTTAAACTAGTAGATATACTTAAACTAGTAGATATACTTAAACTAGTAGATACTAGTATAATCGAAACTTAAGATCTAAAGTAAATAGAGCTAATATAATCTTAATACGCATAAACTCGTAAACGATTTTAAATCGATTTCGAAGTAGGTTCAAACTACAATAGAATCGTACTAAATACGCTTAAACTTATAAATAGTTCCAAACCGATTCCGAATCGGTTTCGAACGGGTTTTGAATTGTATGTTAGATATATAGGTGCCCACCCCCTATAGGATTAATATAGTGTTAACACCGTATCAATACGGTTTCGAAACCGTTTAGAGGATCGGATACGTACTAAGTATCTAATACAGTTCTACTACAGCTCGAAACCGATCCTCATACAATTCGGAATCGATTCGAAACTAGTTCAAAACCGGTTCGGAGCTATCTACGTGTTTACGCGTAATAAGATTATATCGGCTCTATTTACTCGGATCCTAAGTTTCGATTATACATAGTATCTACTAGTTTAAGTATATCTACTACTAGTATATACGTACTAAGTACCTTCTTGGTTATTCTACTACGTACTTAGTATCTTCTTCAATCGCCCTACTACGTATATATCGTTCTTTCGAGCGTCCTATCGAACGTACAGTACTGGCCTCCTGCAAAGCCTCAATCCGGGATCGATCTAGGATTAGACCTAGTTCAGACCTAGTTTAGATTATAGGTCTGAACTAGGTCTAATCCTAGATCGATTCTAGGTCGATTCCTAGGTCGGAGGCTTAATCTGTTGATTTTCTCAGTAGATCGGATCCGGATCGGATCCGGATCACGTATTAGCTACTATAATAGTAAAAAAAAAAGAAGTATTCGAAACCTACTAGGAGTACTTTTTTTTTCTTTTTTATTTTAAGACTACCGTTAGAATTTTTCTTTTTTAAATTCTAGGCGATAGCGACGTCGTTACTACTCGACTACGACGCCGTATATCGTATTTCTAGTAATATTTTTGATATATAAATCTATAATCTATAAATATTACGTAATATATTAATGTAAAAATTTTAAAAATTTTAAAAGTTTTAACTAAGTTAAGAAGTGATCCTCGATACGCTACTAGTAGTTAGCCTATAGCGATCTCTATAGCGATCTCTATAGTGGTGATCCTCTCGTGATCCTCTCGTGATCTACGATACGTTATTTAAGTAGCCTATAAGTGATTCTATAGTGATTCTCGATCCGGATCGGAGTAGGATCGGAGTAGGGTCGATATAGTATCGATCCTATATTAATACTAGATTAATCCTTATTAGGCGGGCATATATATAGTTTAGACCTAGTTCGGACCTAGTTTAGATCCTAGATCTGAATTAAGTCTAATCCTAGATCGATCCTAGATTGAGCCCTTATAGAAGGCCAGTATAGTACCTATATAGTAGATATAATCGAACTAGCAAAGATATACGCGGACTAGTAGATATACGTAAACCTAAGTAGTAGATATACGCGAACTAGTAGATACTTATAATTAAACCTTTTCATTTAAGTAAATAGAGTTAATATAGTCTCGATACGCTTAAACCAGTAAACGGTTCCGAATCGGTTCCGAATCGGTTTCGAACTATAGTGGAATCGTATTAGATATATATTCGATTCTCTAAACGGTTTCGAAATCGTATTAGCACGGTATTAATACTATATCGATCTAAGGGAGGGTGGGCACCTATGTACGCCTATACCTTCTCAAGTATCCCGTCAAGCGTCCCGTCGAACGTACTATTGAACGCACTATTAAGCGAGCGTATAGTTAAGCGTAGGTATTTTCGATTATACTTCTACTAGTACTATGTAGTAAACGTAGAAAACGTATCGAGGCTCTAAACTACTAGTATACCATATATATCGAGGAGGCCTTAACCTGTATCCTAAGGCTTAACACCGTATTAATACCGTATCAATACTGTATTAAGCCTCGAAATCGGTTCCGAACCGGTTCCAATACAGCTCTAAACGTTAATTTTATTACCGATCTAAGCACAGATCAAAACCGGTTTGATACCGTAGTAAAACCGTATTGGATACTATATCAAAACCGTGTTGATACGGTGTTCATACTGCATTGATCTACTACCGATCCTGGGCCGATTCCGAATCGATTCGGCACTTTGTCGGATACGTACTCGTATATCTTGCGATCTAAGACGCGGAGACATTACAGTATATAACAGACTATAAAGGTAGATCTGCCAGGTCAAGGAGTTGCTCATACGCATAATCTCAACCTTACATCTTGACTTTCTCGCCCTCTTCACTCGTACTCCTGCTCGTACTTGCACTGGGACCTCCATGCCCGTCACCCCGCGAACCCGACTTACCAGCCTTCGACCGAGCATGATCTGTTGCTATCGTCGTGTCATGATGGGCATTGACGCCGCGTGAATCGACACCAACACCTAGAGCCGGACCGACATCTGGACCAACATCGGCATCGGCACCGTCAGAATAGTACTCACGACCTTCCAACGGGATGGTATCGGTAGGGCCGAAGTGGGTTCCCGGGATGGTAGGCGGTGCGGCCGCAGCATGGCTGCCGGACCGGGGAACAACATTATGCTCGATATCGTCGTAAGGCCGCCAGAAGTCGCGTTTGCCCTTTGAGGCACGGACCAGCCAGGGAGGCAAGATGCCACCCTCGATCTTCCAGGTCCAGGGGTCCTTGTACTTTTTGTCGGCGGGGCGGATGCGGCCGCCGGTGGCGATCTCGATGAGCCACACGACTGTGTTGAGGATAATGTAGCTGATGATGCCTGCGATCAGGCCATAGGCGATGCTGTAGGTGAAGGGCATGATGGCGATGGTAAGGAATGCCGGCACCGCGTCGCCAATGTATCGCCAATTAATGTCGGCAGCGGATTTGGCCCTGGAAAAGATATCAGCACATGATTTTGAACGGATCGCAAAAGCAGATAGTCGTGCGCTGTTGGAGAGAAAACGAAAAAACAAGGAGTTGAACCACTTTCCAAGGCGGGGGGATTCCGGTTGGTTACTTACATGAGTGACCCCACAATGATCAATACGCACCCAGTCGCGTATGGCGGGATCGAAGCAAAGATCGGAGCGAAAAAGATAGAAATAAAGAAACAAAAGCCGGTCGTCATGGCTGTGAGTCCGGTGGCTCCGCCTTCAGAGATACCCGCCCCAGATTCGATAAAGGCCGTCACCGGAGGGCATCCAAAAAGTGCGCCGATCGAGATGCCGAAAGCGTCCACAAGATATGCGACCGCCGAACCCTCAAAATCTTGAGTTCGCTCGTCGATGGCGCCGCAGAAGCGAGCCATACTGTACAAAGTTCCCGTTGTATCCAATATCTGAAAAGATAAGGTTAGTAAGCAGGGAAACCCTGGTGGATTTCTCCGCGAGACTTACATCGACGTATAAGAAAGAAATAAAGGCCAAAGCAAACTGGCCGCCGTAAGAGGAAACGTCCCATTCCTGTACAGTCAGGATCTTCTGGATCGGGTGGAAGGTGACGACCTTTTTGAAGAAGTCGAACATGCTAGTGCCCAACTCGGTATAGGGGAAGTATGTGACCGGCGTGTTCCGAGGCCAGGAGATGATGCTGACAAGTAAAATTCCGATGATGATGGCGCCCTTGACACGATACATCATGAGTATAACAGTGAAGATTCCGCCGCAGAAGATGCCGAGCCACATGGTCGGGTTGCGCATCTTGTCCCAGGACGGACACACGCCGGCGTCGGTCAGGTTGTCCTGGTGGCACCCAGCAAGTTCAATGGGGGTGTCTGATGCTCCAGTGACGGCACCGATGCCGGCGCTGTATGTGAGGCCGATCAAGGTCAGGTACAATCCAATGCCCACACCGGTGGCAAGTTTGATCGAGGCGGGAATCGCACGGGCCAGCCATTGTCGCATGCCTAGGATCGTGAGACCGACAAACACCAAGCCTTCGACGAACACAGCGGTGATGGCTACCTGGTAAGGCACCAGCCCGGATCCATGATAACCAACAACGGTATATGCGAAGTAAGCGTTCAGCCCCATGCCGGGCGCCAGGGCAATCGGCATATTGGCGAACAGGCCCATGCAGAATGAAGTCAAAGCTGATATCGCGGCCGTGGCGGTGACGAGATCTCGTTTAATCTCAGCGACACAGAGCATGTACTCTGGATTACTGTCGCATAAATCCGTACTGTCGGGCGGACAGACACAGGTACCACCCGATTCAGACACAATAGTCGAGTTGACCGAGATAATGTATGCCATGGCGAAGAAGGTGGCCAATCCAGCGCGGATCTCGGTGAAGAAATAAGAGCCCTTTCGTTCTTTGGGATGTCCTGATCCATGAAGCCGGAATCGCCTACCCACGAACGAGCGGGCAACTGCCATGTTGGCATTGTGCACCCACTCGTTGTAGCCCATGATCGACTGCGGGTGTGGTGGTTGAAGGGAAATCAGGCTTGCTGTTCAAGCGGAGAAAATTTTCGTCACATCGGCAGTGACAGTGAAAATCGGTAAAAAGGCGAATATATACAGTTGAGACTGGTCCTATGTCTTACAGTGCGTGAGCTAACAGCATTGTGATAAGGCTGGACTGGGTGTTGCCCTAGATGTGCTGAACTTGAAGCTGTAGACTCTCGACCGGCGTGGTGGAAGGTTCCGATAAGGCTCTCTCGTTCGTCGCCCGTTCGTGTGCAGAAGAACTTGCAGGCGGGCGATGGAGATTCATGGGTGGATGCCATCATACGCCATCGCCCGCCGTGCGAGTGGCCGGCAGCCTCCGGCCAAGACAACCGGCGGAATCCGCTTGCCCTAAAACTCGTCCAGATTCGGCGCCGGTGGATCTTGGCGTCGCTTTTGCCGGCCTGGGCCACGTCCAGCTGATAAAATGCGCCCAGGCCATTGGTTGGCATGGCATAGGAGGAGCGGCGCCGTCAGGATGGGGTCGATGATTGCGATGTTGTATGTAGATCTGGTTTCGGTATTTCCATCCTCTGGGATCCTCGGGGCTCCGCGAAAGCCTTCCCTGGAACCTGTTGCGATGGTTCATAGTCTGGGGACGGCGTTGCGTCCATTCTCGACGTGCAAACACCATGTCTGAAGTGCACACCCAGGCACACACACGCATGGCATATTCCTCCGGCTGTAGTGGCCGGTATTCCGACATGCGGACCGTAGATTGGTGTGTCAATCCTTCATGTCATGTCGTGGGGGGCTCCCTATCAAAAGGTTACAGCAGTAGTAGTGGCACGTCGACGCCACGCCTTTTGCCATAGTGAGATTCAGCACACCTTACCTAACTGTAGGGCTAACTGCTGAGATGGGCTGGGTTGATTGTCGTCGAGCAATACCGAGCACTGAGTTACCACTCCAGCTATTACTAGTAGTAGTACAGGTGATGCAGTGCCGTACTCCCGCTATACAGTATTGGGCAGGAACGATTATACGGACAGTCGCGTAATCTTCCAGTACTATTATCACTACTAGTACTATCCGTCCATCGGCTGACCTCCCCTGTTGCTGCTCAACCTCACAGCCTACTAGCGAATGAAAGACATACTGAGTCGCCATGAAGGCATCTAGTAGAGGTAGAAGCCGAGATGTGACGAACGAGCTGATGGTAATTGTAAACCCAGATTTTAATTCTCTACAAATGCAGCGTGGATGCTAACATTAGACCACACCAAAGGTACAAATCGACGGTCTGCCGCCCGAAGCCATCTATACTCCCAAGCCGTCTTGACTTTCCCAATTTTTTTGCATTGATGCACTATACAATCCATCAAGAACAATGTTTACTCAGATTCTGGCCATGACTGCTGAGTGTGGTATAGTACCAGGTCCCTTCGGCCAGCAGGATCATTTTGCGTGTCCGTTCTGCTTCTCTTCCAATCCGAACTCTTTCCGGATTGCCTCGCCAAACCGGCGGATAGCATCGATAATCTTTTCCGCCGGGGCCGCAGCGAAAGTTGTCCTAAAGAACAACTCTGTATCGCTGCCTCTCTGCGCTCGGAACCAAGATCCTCGGGCAACCAGAACATTTTCTTGAACTGCGGCAAGGAAAACAGATTCCTCAATCTCTTGAAGAGTAGCGTAATCGACAACACCTCCGTCGCGAGTCCTTGACTTATACAATGGATGCTGCTTCATATCAACGTGGATCCAGTGGAACATTCCAGCCTTGGGCGGCACCCAGCTGGCCACTTCGGTAGGAAGATGAGCCTCGCACGCGTTGACAATTATGTCGCGTCTTCGAGTGTATTCAGCGCGGATAAACATGAGCCACTCCAGGAAGCCCTTGTGACCCCAATTCCGCTCCAGTAGATTGTACAGCACCGACAAGGTGAAACCGGCAGGGGTCTGTACGCTAACTTCGCTGTGTCGGATAAAGCGCTCGATGACCTGAGGCTGACCTGTCACCCAACCACATCTGCTGCCAGGCGCAATGATCTTGGAAAACGAGTCGAGGCGAAGGACACGCCCGGACGTGTCGAGGGAAAGGTATGATGGAACCAGATTGGACAAGAAATCAGCAACAGGGACTGGCTTGAATGGCGAGGGCACAGAGTGCGTTGTGCCAGAGATAAAGGGCTCCATCTGTAGGAAATAGTAGGGTTCGTCTTCGAGGATGAAGAGGTCGTGCTTTTCCGCCACTGCATAGATTTGCTTCCTTCGTTCCAACGACTGCGTGCTGGCAGTGGGATTCTGCCCGGTCGGCACCGTGTAGACCAAGAATGGTTTTGGTGCCCTTCGAGCGGCCTCGTCCCAGGTGGAGAGCACATGATCCAAATCATCGGGCAGCATGCCTTCAGCGTCCATTTTGATACCTAGCATCTTGCACCCCAATGGCGCCACGGTCTCTATGGCCGAGCTGAAGCTGTATTCTTCAGTCATGACATAGTGGCCACGCTCCGTAAACATTCGAAAAGCCATTTCGAGAGCCGAAGTACTGCCGACCGTCATGCAAATCTCCCAGTCAGAGTAGGGCGGGTTGTGGACGATCTCCGTATGCTCTGTCAGAAAGCGCAGCAATGCTCCAGGACCCATCGACTGGCCGTAGTTGAGCGCGATAGACAGGTCATACAGGGACTTGCCTTCCTTGGCATCATGTTTGCCGGTGGAGAAGTATTTTGCAGAAGATATCGAGTCGGCTTCCGAAAACTCGGGTGGCACGGGCAGCTTTGCACCGACTTCTTGGAACGGGAAGTAGTCGCTGGAAGGCAGTCCTCCGCAAAGACTGATAGTCTCCGGGCGGAAGTAGTTCATGGCACCTTTCAGCGAGGACGGCTTTCTGGCCTTGCTCTCCTCGGAGAGACGGTGCGCGAAGCTCTTGGATTTTGGTTTCTTCAGACAGGCCTCGCTTTTGAACATAGTGGCATTGGAGAACGCCGCCACTGTCGTTGGAGGAGGCTTGGACTTTTCGCGATGAGGGAGCACATCGTCAATCGTGAAAACAGGGCGTTGTTCGCCCGTGGATAGAACGGGTTCGGGAACCACCATGGCAGAAGTGTCGGTAACAGCCTCAACTTGGGGGTCTGAAGGCATTATCTTGTGTGTTCCTCGTGGCGGATGGGCGGGATACTGGGAAATGACTCAGACCGCAGTAGTCCGTTATACGGGCAACAAGCGACAATGGCTGGGGTCACTATTATTATAAGGATGCTCTGAGGAAGGATGATTGAGAATGGTCGGATTTCGATAAGATCTTAGGAATACAAGCCTGGATCAGCCAGCAACTAGGGATTGAAAATAGAAAGGGATAAGGGAGAGTAGTAGAAGTTGTTGATAAAAAGGTTGGAACAGGAAAACGGCGGTTTTCGCCGGCAAAATTGCTTATCGGCGGAAAAGTTGCGTGCAGTGATACTACATTGTACGTACCTGCCTTAGCCGCATCAACGTCACACGGTCAAATTTGCCGTTGCAACGCTCAAATGACGGCTTGAGTGAACACAACCATGGTTTGCTAATCCCAAAAGTCGGATGTCTGACCACACGCATTCATGTGTCAAATTCTCCCGAGCTTCCGACATCTGTATCCACGTGACTGCGCCTTGTGAATGATCACTCAGACTGGCAAGAGGCCGGCCAGGCTGGCAATTTCTACCGTTGAGATCGAGGATGTAAGCAGCCATACCAACTGCGAGTCAAAGATGACCCATTTCTCACAGCAAGGGTGGTGTTGGCGGCGCCTGGATATGTCGACGCTCTTAAGTACTAAATCATTGAGCATTATCAAGCGTCTCTTCTACTTGCATTTCGTAGTCTCTTGATGCCTGCACAGTTCCATGGTTTCCGCATATTCAACTTCCTCCAAATTGTCACAGGTGCAGTGTACTCTTGTTGTAGTGAAACAGCCACCCAACCGTCCTTTTTTGGGCAGTGCGTCACGCCGTTGACCCATCACCGCCCATACCTCATGTACAACTCCTGCCTTGCAGCCTTCGCCCATCTCTTCGACTGTGGGCTCCGTCTTGCTCACACATTTTCGCCGGCCGGGCTCGGGGAACTGGCAGGTAGCGGACACCCGTGACCTGTTGCCCCGTGCCTGCCTTGATCTCCTGAAACAGTCTTTCTGCCATCAAAAGTTGTCGTTGGAGATGCCGTTGTGGCCAGTGGGCACGGCGTCGGGATAGCCGTATGCGTTGGTGGTGTCGTGGCCTGTAGCATTCAATCCGTGGCCTTGGTTCAGTAAATCGTTGGAATTCTCCGATTGCCCATAGCCGGAGGCACTGCCGGTCGCGGTATTGCCGGGGACACTGGAACCGCCGACGGGGCCCCCATATCCGCTGCTGGTCGGTCTGTTCTGGTTCTCGCCCCTTGTAGATTGGGTCTTGTCCCAATCAGTTCAAATGTTCAGATTGTAATCCCCGTCAAGTTGACAAAGGAGTGGAGGAAATGGAGACTCGACTACTTACTTCGCGATACTTTGACAAGTAGATTTTCAAAGCTTCGGCATAATTCTCGAACCCTAGCGAGGTCATGGCAAACAGGATATCTTCTCCATTGACCGTCTTGCGCTTCTCCTGTTGACATTTCTCGGACGCTGGGCAACGTTAGCCTAAACGCACCCAAGAGGAACACTTTTAAAACCATACCTTCGCTGGTGATGAACGAGATGAATTCGCTCACGCATTCCTGCATGCACTCTTTGGCTTCCTTTGCAATTTTGGCATTCTCGGGCAAGGCTGTCTTCATGATTCGGGCCACTGGCGCAGAATTACGGATGTTAGCATCGGACATCGCAGAAGATGAAGACGAGGATCCTCGCTGGCCATGGCGACGTGAGGATGAGGGATGCTTGGGATCATGATCTGAAGACATAACGGGGGGTCCTGAAATGGCAATATGCGACTGCTGCAGGAGACGTCCTCTGAGTGGCCGCAGTACCGCACCAGTCACCGCAAAGCAGAGCTTGCGATTAAAATCATGGTCGGAAGAAAAGAGAAGCGACGACGAATGAGAGGATTGCTGGCTAAAGAGCAGGTGCAGCGTCGCACACCCGGATTCGTACATAGCAAAGGGCTCTGTTCCTGGCGCCTGGGACGACGCATGACTGTAACGCAAGGGTCGAACAAATCAAATCCCTGGCGCAGGCCGAATGTTTTGACAGCGTGCAACGGGGGTAAGATATAACAATCGAGGAGGCAGACACAAACAGAAACGACGAAAAAACAACACTGACCATTTGCAATAGGGAGCCATCGGTCTTGCTCCTTGACCTCGAATTCACCGGCGCCGGTGCCTTCTGCTCTTTCTTGTTGTTCCATAGAATGGTCCTCTTCGCCAGACTGTGCACTTTGTTCGACATCGGGCTCTTTGGGTGGGGAGGCCGACATGATGTAGTTCGAGGGTAGCCGCAGCGGCTGGATTGCAGGGCGAGAAAATGTTTGGCTCGCAGTGACCACGTCACACCTTGAGGCGGCACCGATGCACAATGCCTAATGCTGGTCCGCGTCACCCGCAACGCTCTTGGTCAGACGATCGCCTCTTCTCGCCGTTCGTGCCCAACACGATTCCCTCTCGGCACGCTTCGTGGGGAACGAGGGTAGCTTAGGTGACTACCGACAAGAAACCGGGGCTGCGGTCGAGTGGAAACCACCGGTAGGTGAGGCGGAACAAGCGACGAATCGGTGGCAGAAGCTGGGAAAGCAACAGAGGGCAATTGCCAAATTGGAGGACGGAGGAGACACAGCAGCCAGCCGGACAGGTCAACAAGCCCGGTTGCGATGCGATATGCGCGATGCGGCTGTTATGCGATGTGATGCTAGATGACGAGGATCGGAACGGACAGCTGCAGATACAGTGTGTTTAGCTGGCAAACTTTGGCCATTGGGCAGCACAGGAGCATTGAGATCTAGGAAATCTCAAGCCTGGCTTGACAGCAGACCGTCTGGTCGATACATACCGGTACAAGCGCAATATGAGTCGGAGTGGAAGGCGGTCGCGAATGGGATGTTGTGGTCCTCGCGATTAGATGGGACGACGATTGGGCCGAGGGACGCAGCGGATGGTGGTTGGTCTGCGATCAAAGTCTTGGGGCGCTGGTCACTGGGGCAGACTCGGAGGGGAAGGGTAAGACCAGGTTTAGTCGCTGAGCTGTATAGACTACGGCAACTAATGTGAGGAAAGTAGTGGTCGTGAGATGCAGATGCGATGCAGATGCCAGCGAAGAGGGCAGGCTTGTGTGTATACCGCGTCGTGAGAGCGATAAAGGCGGAAAAGTACTGTAGTCAGGTGACAGCAGACTCAGATGGCCTTACACCGTAGTAGTAGTAGCAGTGTACTCTGTAGTTGTAGGTGCCAGTGCGGGTGGTTGGGCAACGAGCACAGCGCAGCGCAGAGAGTGGGGCCAGGCTGAGTGAGAGAACAAGAGCACAGAGTAAAGTGCACCAGTAGTGGTGGGTGGGGTGGCTGCTGTTGCTGCCGTGCAGGTCACGGTGTGTTGCACCGCAGTTTGGACCTCGCAGTCACGGCGTTGGCCTGCGCTCCCTTGCTCCAGCCAGATCCACACCACACCACACCACACCACACACCCTCACACTGGCACAGTAGTACCACTGGTACAACTGCCACTCTCTACCAACGCACATATCCCCCTCGCCCTTTTTCCTAATCAAGGGTCCTTTTCTTTACCTATTTATTGCTGAGATGCCCGATTCAAGGCTTCTTTTCCCTCCCCAGCGGATTCCTGCCGTAGTCGCTTCATTCATCCTCACCCCGTCTCATGCCTGTAGTGTCTTCCTCACTACTGATGCCAACTACCTACAGCCGGGACTAGTGCTAAGCTTTGCCTCACCGTCACCTCCAAGTTCTACGATTCAACTCTCATCCGATCCGTGACTAGCGGCACAGTCAATAGCATGGAACTCGGAAGACAACGCATCCCTAAGGACTGTCGGCAAAATTCCATCAATACTCCGTATTGGGGAATAGTCCTCAGGCCCAACAACGACAGCATCCCCCACTATCACATCCTCACCATGGGCTGCACCGCAAGAGCAACCGTGGACTCCGCATTTCCACTGTCTCGGGCTCACCGTTTCCAACTTGAACGCCTCATTCAGCCTCAAATCTGCGGCTATGATCCTGACACCGGGAAGCCGGTGATACTTTACCCGCCTCAACTCGCGGTGAACCGACCGCCCTTTCCCTGCCTTGCCCACCGGTCACATCCGCCTTGATCAAGAAAAACAGGACTGCAACTGGAAAGAACGACTTGTGTCCAACTTTGCTCTCGGGCAATTTTTCCCACCGTGTGGGAAGTCCGGGTGTCAACAACGCCGTCGATCCGATGCTGTATGTTGCAGTGGTTGAAAAGTAAAGCAGGACTCCCCCTGATTTCCCCGTCGTGACACGCTCACCAACCAGCATGGAGACTTGCTGTGTCACATGAAAAGCCCATGACGCACGCTATCCTGAGCCTCCCAGCAACCGTTGACCTACCGTGGCGGTGGCCTATGGTTGACTGGCAGGTCGGCGTGCCTTGGGCTTGGGTCTCAGCGGCTGCCAGCTCATCCACACCAAGCACTGCACGAATTGCTGTTGCTCCTTCCTGCATAAGCGCAGTCAGAAATGTCCTGCAGCCCTGCGAGTGTCTGACTGCCAGTGCCAGTGACTCTGACAGCTCGGGAAAGGTAGGGATGCAAAGTCCTCCTTGGTTGTCACTTTTTCCCCGAAAGCGCCCTCCTTGCACAAGACCAGAAATGCAGCGTCAGTCGTCACAACTTCATCGTTTTGCGGCAATATTGTAATTTTAGCTGGATCCGACAATTGTTCATCACAGTGTAAACTTCCGGAGCAACGACACCCCCGTGACGTTTGCTCTGACTTGGGCGTATCTCTAGAAAAGGGCTGGCATGGTTTATTCTGTTAGCCGGTTCCCCGCGCCTCACATTGGGCAGACGCGCATAGTAATGCCCTAAGGTATGTACGAACGCTGCATTGGAAGTTGTAGCTTTGCAGCTCGATTGTGCTGAAAGACTAACTGAACCTTACCCCACGTGCGAGGACCCTTGCCTCGTTGTAGTTACGCCTTCGTGCCAACGCAGAGGCATATCATGTGCTCGGTTGCGTCTTTGGCATTGCAAATTAGTTGGAAGGTGACAATAACATGAAGCGAACGCCGCCAGCCAGTTGAGAGGCCTGGGTTGCTCAAAATAGATGTAATTTATTGCTTGACCTGACATCAGTAATAGCAGGTGAGGAAAATACAACGCCAGATGGGGTATCATTTCCTTAGTAGTAATTACGAATACCGATCCTTGAAACTCCTTCCCATATGGACCCGCCCCTGCTCTTTCTTTTCATGGCTGGCTAGTGTAGATGCTTGCCAGAGAGACTCAAACGACAAAAGAAGATGCTGGCATAAACAATAATTGTCAATGGGTCAGAAACCCCTGCGCAATTCAGCCTGCGTAGAGCGTAATGAACTTGGACAGAGCGGGACAATCTCCGCCCCTTGTACGTAGGAATTAGCGAGGAGCATATGGTCTCGGCTGGGCGAAGGGGTCATAAGTCAGTTCTGGATGGTCGTCTGCGGCGGTGGCCCGAATCCGCCGTCGGGGGACTTGACGGTCTTCGATTGCGTATCGGTCGTCGTATCCGGCAAATTCATCATCTGTTTCCAAAGGTGCTTGGGGCATATGTTCATGGCGAGCATCCACGTAATACCTGGGACCTCTTCGAAGGTAGTCCGCATGACTGGGTTCTTGGTACCAGTATCGCTCCTCGACCTCGCGGCCATATCCTTGTCCCTGCAGATTGCGATGCTGCTCATATTCCCGTGTTGTGGTGTCAAGTGGACGGGCGTACGTCTCGGCTGGGATGTCACCAACCATCTCATACCTTCTACCGTCCAGCAGAAAATCACTCTCCACAGGATAATATCTGGGTTCGTACCGCGGATTTGCTGTCACCTCTCTATCTCGCATAACGTTCGTCGTCCTCTCGACCTGGCTTCTCTCGGGTCGCTCTGGTAGAATGCTCCTGTGCTCGCCACCCGCGACCATCGTCACCTGCGGAGTCCGTAAGGGTTCCTGGCCCAACAAGCCGGACCTGGTGGCACTATGGCTCCGATAGTGATCGTCATCCGCTGTATCCCGACCACCCTGCCGCATCGGGAGCGACTGTATGTGGCCCTGATACGGCGGAGACCGATGCTCACTTACCCTGCTGCCAGGCCGAAAGGGGTGTCTAGCGTCCTGCGAATATAAAACGGTAGGCTGCAGGTGAGCCAAGTCCGAACGCGTCTGCTCATTCCGACGGGGCCGCGCTGCTGGAACATGCACGTCGGGTCCCGCAGAATAGTCGATAGCCACAGCATTGAAGCTGTCGAGGAATTCTGCAGCTGCACGCGACTCAAGGTCGTCACTATCAGCCCGGATTTTAGAGACTGGTCTCGCTCTGGGTGATCCCGTGTCCGCGCCTAGCGGTGCAGGCCATCGCCCTACATCCCTGCTTCCAGGCCTGCCTACCACAACGCCATCCAGAGTCGTGTCGCTGTTGCGGTTGTATGGCTCGACGTATGAAAACCGCGAGGACTCCTCGTCGTGCGAATAGACCATAGAGCCTCCGGACAGCGGGCCGTCTCGGCTGTGTACATCCCAAGATGATCCACGGTCAACCTCCCGATAATAGTACTCCCGAGATGCCGGGGGCTCTTGATAATAGCTCGATAACACCCTAGGCCTTTCATCGCCTCTCGGGATGAATTTTATCCCATGGCGAGGATCTGGAGGGTAAGGCTGTCGAAATATTAGTGCAGGCCGATGAGGGTCATATTCATCTTCAGCAGCGATAGCAGACCCTTCGGAACTGGTAACATGTGACCCTGCGCCAAACTTACGGATGGCGCCCCGGCCCTTGACCGGTTCGTTGTGCTTGCTGAAAAACGAGTCTTCCGAAACCAAAGACGGGCGTGTCGGGTCTAGCAATGGTAGGAGCGCTCCGACATAGGGCATTGAAGCCGGAAAGTAATCGGGAAACGCTTCCGAGATGACTTGCAGTTTGTTTTGATTGATGCCCGGGGAGTGCCTCAGGGCCTGAATGGCGGCTCGACTGGGGAGCGCTATCATCTCTCGTTTCCAATCCAGTCTCAAAGATGTCTGTGTCTGCCTCCTGGCTTCGTCACTGTCGAAGTGAGCGAGCTGGAAATGGGTCAGTAGCTCCGGCAATGAGTACCTCCCAGCATCATGCGCGGTGACCGATTCAGGAACAGCAGTGACCGCTTCGAAGCAGATTTTACAGCGAAGGGAGAGTTCTCGCAAGAAATGCAGCTCCGGGTGGCGCGTAACAGCTTCTCTGAATAAAGAAAAGCTGAGCTCGTGGTGGAATTTTTTCAAGAACCTCGAGCTTATGTGTTGAATGACAACGTAGAGTCGTACGGGATCAGGAAGGTCCCAAATTCCGTGCAATCTCTGCCAGAATTCGTGGGCACCTGCTGCAACATCCTCCTCCTGAGCGCGATACGCGGCAGCATCTGGATATGTGGGAAGCCCGTGCGAGGATGGAGTGGTATTTTGTCCACCTATGTGAAGTCCCTCTTGGACCCATGGGATGTTGGGAGACGGGTCGAATGGCGGATCGACGGGCCAAAGAGCTTTCCAGTAGACCACAGTATTGCCATTACTAAGGGCGCTTGTATGTTTTGCGGCATAGTGCTGTATGACCGCTTCGAATGAGAACAACTTCTGGTTGGTGTCGCAAACTCTGCAAAGGAATATATCTTTTCCAAACCTTTCGGTGTGTGGCTTGACGAACTCTTCAAATGCCCATTTCATGTCCTCAAGCCTCAAGATCCTGCAAGCTTGAGATTCTGCATCTTGTGGAAAGGCCGTGCCCTTCATTGCAAGCATTCTGTCTTCACGGGCTATAACCTCAGCAAAACGTTGGCGGACATGGCAAAGAACCTCTGCAGCAAATTTACTTGCCGTGGCCTTCGTCACGCCTCGGCCATCCGACCACGTCTGGTGGATGAATTCCTGAGCATATTTCCGAATCTTATCTCGGCTGGCGACTTTCAACTCGGACTCGAGCCTTTTGTTTGCCTGGGAGTCGTGGTGTTCTTCTAGGCGTGCACCGAAGGGCACCATTTCTTTGTGTTCCGCTTCTAGACGTTGTGCTAGGAGTCGCGGTTTCAAAGTTTCCCAGGCTCTCTTATTAAGAGGCTGGGAAATCATAATGGCCGCTTTGAATGCATCCATATAGTTCAGAGTCGAGGGCATGATGGGAGGATTGAGTGCCATGCAACGACGCTCTATCTCCTTTCGACGTTCAGCCTTGGCTTGTTCGGCCTCTTTCAAACTTCGTTCTACTCTCTGTCGCGGGATGTGCCGCACTGGGTCTGCTGTAGGGGTAATCTCAATATCCACGGACGAATGGGCATCACCATGCCAAGCTTCGGATGGTCCAACGTTCACTGCACGCAGATCCGCCGATAGTATTCCTGTTGTGATTGATCGTTAACAGAAAAGTACTGAAGGACGACAACGTCTTTGAAATCCCAAGGAAGGAAGGGTTCACCGGCTTACCATGCAGAATACCATCACCTTTAGAGGCACTGCCGGGCCTGTCGCCGGCAAAGAGGGATGAAAACTTATCCTGGCGCACATGTTGACGTTGAAAGGCTGACTCTTCTTGATCAACACTCATTCCACCAGGCAACTCGATCTTAGACAGACCTCGCCTGGCCACGGCAAATGGCTTCCTGAACCCCCCTTGGACTGCCCAAAGCTCAAACCGAGCTGCAATCGCGTTCTGCTCCCGCCCCCTGGCTTCTAAACCTTTGTACCACTCCTCCAGGACGGCAGTTCCAAATCCCTGGATATCGTCTCGCTCGCGTTCCAGTTCCTCCAGCTGAGGCTTGAAGAAAAACTTGGTGAGCTGAACGCCCAGGGGAGGAGATGTATTCCTCAAGAAGATGGAAGGCACATAATGGAGGTCGGCCGTAAATATTGCAAACGGTAGACCAGGCGACAGAGCAGACGAGCTTGATACAAGCAAGTCAATCTCCTAAACAGTGTCAATTACCAACCTGATAAATGGTATAAGCGAGCTCACCCGGACAAGTCGCGCTTTGAGACACCTGCCACAAGATCTTACATGAAATGGCCAAATCGGGCAAACACCTTCCAATCCAGGGCCGCACCGCCAGGGAGATGGTTCTGGAGGACTCAAATCCTGACCCCTGACCTTCGCACCACAGTATTGACAAACCTGCGAAAGGGCGAGTCTCCAGGTATCGAGTTCAGTCATCCCATCCACCGGTCTGGGAAATCCCTGAATGTAGGTATTCCTGGATATGGTCCAAATCAGATTCTGGCTCCGAAGTCTGAGACGCTTAGCCTGCCCAGATGGCTGCGGCAGCGGTACTGTAGGATCAAGGAGTGAACGAAAGGATCTGTTGACGCGGATCAACCGTCCAAGGGAAACAGGGTCAACAAAACTGAAAATGTGCTGAAGGATCTCAGCTGGCAGGTCCTGTAGCTGGGGCCTGGCCCTTCGAAGAGAGGTCGCCGCCTGAGCAGCAATACTGCGGTTCGGAGTCATAGCGGCCAATCTCGGTCTTTTTGAGCTGAACTCATCGATGTAAGTAGTATTTTGCGCAATTCCGCTCGTCAGGTTTGCATGATGGCGACCGTCCTGAGATCGTGATGGAGACTCCGGTGACCAAGGCCTCTTTTCCCGAGTCATCATCTCTTCACCTTCCCGTTCACCGCCGGACGCCATTGTGTCAGAAGGCACGAATCATGCACGTAACTGCGACAGAGAAAGAGCAAGGTATGAAAAGTAGTGTAGAGCACAGGAATATCGGCGGTCAAGGCTGATATTCCTGTGTCCTATCAAGTTTGGATCTGGTAGAGACCGAACCGAAAACATTGCGAGCAATGTTTTGGCAGAGACAGAAGGAAGTGGGAGACGATAAGGCGGGAAGCGGACAGGATATGGGGATTTCGAAGAGTTCTGGAGCCGTGGAGAAGTCGCGCATGAAATAATGGACTCCCAAAGAGACAATATCACAGGAACTGAGACTTGAGCCCTGGTGAAAGTCTTCACCGACTCAATCCTCAGGATATCCTGTCGATAGCCTCGAATTCGGCCAGGCACAGAGGGGGGAGAGCCGGCGCAAGTGGATGGACACCTCACAAGCGGAAACGAAGAAGGCGCCGGCGGGATGAAGATAAAGGGGCAGTGCTGTTGAAGCTCAATAGCACAATCTCGTGGTAAGCGGATGGCGACGTCGAGCACTCATGAGATTGCACGTTGACGAGAGGCGCTGGTCGCTGGCATGCGCAGGCTGCCAGCGCGGAGGTTGAAGGGAATTAGGTTTATGTCTGACGGCGCACTGAGGTTATGACCAGCCGTCACTGTAGGGGCTTTAGGAGGCCATTTCCTTGTCTGACGGCGGCCTCACCTTATTGCTTGTCCCCAGCGTCATACTGCACTGGCAGCCGGCGCAGTACAGCGTTGTAGGCACCTCTAAGTACCTCCCCACCGTAATAATGCACATCGGTACCTCAGCCACTGCACTGCTGCAGTACCTAGGTAAGCAACGTACTACGACGGCGGTGGTGGCAGAGCTTCCTTGGCGCCATCATTCGGCCTGCGCCCCCTCCGCGCAAGTCCAATGCTCCATAAGGTACCTGGTCCCCGTTGCAGGTAGCAACATAAAGTCGGACAAGTGAATCAGGCGGCCGAGCTACAATTATACCTCCTTCACATACTGTATCTTAGACACAAGAACCTCCTCTGTCAATATCTCTCGAGACGACCTCGAGGACTATTCCGAGCCTCTTCCCACGAGTCGCGCTTCTGCCGTCACCGTTCAACTTCCGTCGAATCGACCTCTCCAGCTGGGCTACCAGGCATCCGGCCTACTAGTATCTGACCTGTTGACGCCCTCAGCAAACAGCCCTTTATGGCTTCCCTCAACACTTCTACCAACGGACCGTCAATCACCAAAAGTTACCAATCCGTCGTCAATGCACCGCCTCCCTCTGGTGCTGCCGCCGCTTCGCCCACCTACGGTCAATGGGCTGTCTTCTCCGTGTCCGCTCCTCTAGCCAATGCGTTCCAACAAGACTCGGGAAACAAGGAGAGCATACTCAAAGTTCAAAGTACAGGAGAAGGAGAGCTTGTTGATTTGATCGACGAGTTCTCTGACGGCCGAATTCAGTTCGCTTTCGTCAAGGTAAAAGACTCCAACACCGGTCTGCCCAAGAATGCCCTGATCGCTTGGTGCGGTGAAGGGGTGCCGGAGCGGACAAAGGGATACTTCACCAGCCATATGACGACAGTGGCCAAACTGCTGCATGGCTACCATGTCCAGATTACTGCTAGATCCGACCGAGATCTCACGCCGGAGGGCATTATACAGAAAGTTGCCGATGCCTCAGGCTCCAAGTATTCCTCGAGCAGTACTGCTCCGCCTTCCGTTGCCGCTGCCAGCAAGCCAAACGTGGCTTCGAAACCGGTTTTCACTCCTACACAAAGTACGGGAGTATCAGGCGGATATAACCCCCCGGGCCGTAATGTGCCGCCCAAGAAAGCTGATGTGGACGAGGACGGTTGGGGTGCGGACGCTCCCCCCGTTACCCGGACGCAATTGGAAAAAGTGCAGCCCGCCTATCAGCCTACCAAGGTCAGTATGAGAGACCTCACTTCGACGAAGCCGGCCCCGTCTGGTTTGGACAGCAGTCACACGGACGATCGGCCGGACGTGGTCAAGGGTGCATATCAGCCAGTCGGCAAAGTTGACATTGCTGCCATCCGACGCCAGGCTAAGGAGTCGGGGCAAATGCGAGATGATAGACCGGAGCCCGTGAAGGGCTCCTACGAGCCTGTTGGCAAAGTCGACATTGCTTCCATACGTGCCAGGGCCCAGAAACATGAGGATTCCAGTTTCTCGCGACCGAGCCCGGAGCCAAGCGCTTCAGCTGGCACCTCCGAAGAGAGGGAGATCCCCGTTCGGTCACTACAAGAACGCTCGGCTGCCTTCTCCCAGGGTCCGGAACGTCTCACATCCCTGCCCAAACCTAAGGTTGCCAACAAGTTCGGCGGTAGCTCGACTTTCACAGGCACCAAAGCACCACTTCCTGGAGGGTTTGAAGCTAAGCCAGTGGTCCCTACGCCTCCGGTAGGCAGTGCCAGTAGGACTTTTGCCGACCAGGGAGGCAAGACTCCTGCACAGCTTTGGGCTGAGAAGAAGGCCCGCGAAAGAGGCTTGAGCGGATCTGGGGAACCACCACAGTCGCCAACCGGACACTCGGGACAGACTCCAGTGGCAACACAGAAAAGCGGTGGCGAATGGAAGAGTGGTTATACCGGTAAGAGCTGGGCGCCAGTCCAGACTACGCACACCGGGCGAAGTAGCATCGGGCAACAAGTTACAGGCGAAGGCGCGAAGTCTGGCACAGAAGAGGAAACTCCTGCGTCACCCGCCGGTGGTATCAGTTCGATACGCGATCGATTCAGTGGCGCTCCTCCCATGGGAGCCCCTGCGACCTTTGACCGCGCTCCGCCGCCTGCACCAGAACCTGACACAAGCAACAAGCCCAACCGTGGTATACCAATCCCCGGTCTGCCAGTTTCGCAACCCAAGCCGCAGGAAGAATCGGCCCCAGCACTGCCCACGCCACCTCCCCAGCCGAGGAGCCCAACGCCACCCACTCCGGACGAGCGAGCTGCTTCTCCCATCCGTGTCGCTATGCCAGTCAGCGCGTCCGCGGAAGTGACCGATGCTCATGAAGAGATTGTCTCACCACCACCAACACTGCCGACTACATCTCTAGCGGAGGCCATTCCTACTCCGGCGCCTGACGAGGACGAGCCCGATGTTGGACCCGATGTTGGACGCGCCGCTGCACAAGCAGCCGCGGCAAGCACAATGGGACAGGAAGCGGTAGAGGCCGCTCCCCCTGCGGTGGCCGCCGCTGGAGGTGAACGAGCGCGAGCTGAGTATGATTATGAAGCGGCGGAAGACAACGAAGTGTCGCTTCGTGAAGGTATGGATAATGGCATCTCCAGCATGTTCCTTGCTAATAGTATCTAGGCGAAATCGTCACCAACATCCAGCGAGTGGATCCGGATTGGTGGGTGGTTACTAACGAGTCTGGACTGGTAAGTTGCTTGCACAACCCGTGGGGAAACTCGTGGAAGACTAATAGCTTTGCAGAGCGGACTTGTCCCTAGCAACTATCTCAGTGTCTTGGAGGACGATGCTGGTGATGCCACAGCTCCGGCGGCTGCCTCTCATGCAGCCGAACCTGGCCCGTCGGCACCCGAACCGACGAAGGGAGTTACGGCCACAGCTCTTTACGATTATGAAGCCGGAGAAGACAACGAGCTCTCATTCCCCGAGAACGCCATCATCACCAACGTCGTATGTTGCTCCCCGTTTGGAATGCTGATCTCATCTAACTAACATCAATTCAGACATTTCCTGATGAAGACTGGTGGCATGGCGAGTACCAGGGCCAAGCAGGCCTGTTCCCGGCTAATTACACCAAGCTCAACGACTGAATCATTCCTGTGGGCAGAGAGGCGTGGAACTTGGGTGTTGTCAAGACCTATGCCCACCCGCACTTGGGTCATTGGTAGTGAGCAGAGATGATCTATCTCGCAAATACTAGTACTTAGAGTGGATCGCGAAAAGTGAAAGACATTAGTACCAGGGATGTCATGCCCTACAGCGTATCATGATCCCCTTGCAGAGTAGCAAAGAAGATGATTTCAAGCAAGATCCAATGTCATGGCTGGAAGTTAGCTTGAAGGCGGCGAGATCGAGTGGAGAATGACTGCCCGGTTCGTCGTTTTTGCCGCGTCTCCATCAGCTCCGAGTCCCCAGATCAAATTTTGCGTGCCAATGGTGGAGCGATCGGCGTGTGCGAGTTATCACCTTGATACAAGAACAGCAAAGAATGCCTTCTTGCGATGAGTCATGAGCATGAATGGAGAAAAGATCGAGGAGACACAGGTCGAGATAGAGATCGAATTGTAGTCGGGCGACAATCACAACTTGTCTTGTCTGTCCTCTGCCAGGTAGTGTTGATGTTGCAACTCCTCTCGTAGGCTGCCAACCAGAGCTCATACAGTAGTAAACTAGGTAGTAGTAGTCAAGATTATAGGTGCGTCCCGCGATAGATAAGCGGCAGAGAACAAGTCCGGGGGCTCCTCAGGCCGACATCGCCCGCGAGGCTGGAATCGGTGTGACATCTGAGCTCGCGTGGCCCGTTATTGTTGAGCAACCAATGTTTGCGCTTCTGCTGATTGCGTCGAGCTTATCCATTGGCCGCGGCTCTTCACAGTCATAATTTTTGTCTTTTTCGCGATACAGTGCGGTGACTCTGACCTCAAAAGCCTTGTCCTGTCCCTGTCCCTCCCTCTCGTCGTTCGTCTTCATGAGCTACTAGGTGTCACTCTCCTGTACAGGAGCCCAGTCGAACTCTGCTGTTCTCCGGCGACAGCGACAGCCCTCCGACCAGCAGACTGCTTCAATGGCTGCCTCCGCTCGAGCTCTCCGCCAGGCAAGTGGAATCTTGCTGCGAGAATGCACCCCGAAGCCTCGTCTCTCCCCACGAGCTTTTTCGACTCGCGCCGCGACTCCGGCTGCTAGAGAACACCTTTTGACCCCTCGGGCGCCAACATGGCAGCAGCTCCGCAAGTTTACCAGGTCCGCCAAACGGGGTGCGGCCGTCCAGACTCCTCCCCGCAAAGAGGCTTACTTTGAGAGCGGTGTGGTTGAGCACGGGAAAAACCTCGTCGATGTCAAGAAGGTTTTGGTCATTGGGAGTGGTGGCCTGAGCATTGGACAGGCAGGAGAATTCGACTACTCTGGTAAGTTATACAAGAGAAGATATCACCACCACCCATATACCCTTCGTCTAGCGTGAGTCTGGATTGATACCGAGCATTGACTGACACTTGGACCAGGATCTCAAGCGTTAAAGGCACTTAAGGAGGCCGGAGTCGCGTCGGTCCTCATCAACCCCAACATTGCAACCATCCAGACCGACCACAAGCTCGCGGACGAGGTCTACTACCTGCCCGTCACGCCCGAGTATGTCACTTATGTTATCGAAAGAGAGAAGCCCGATGGTATTCTTCTCACATTCGGTGGTCAGACCGGTCTCAATTTGGGAGTCAAAATGAACAAGATGGGTATCTTTGACCGGTACGGTGTCAAGGTCCTGGGCACGAGCATCAAGACGCTGGAAACCAGTGAGGATCGCGACCTTTTTGCCAAGGCACTCAACGAGATCAATATTCCCATTGCACAGTCGATCGCCGTGAGCACCGTAGACGAGGCGCTTGACGCCGCGGAGCAGGTGGGATATCCTATCATCGTCCGGTCCGCCTATGCTTTGGGAGGTTTGGGTTCCGGTTTCGCCAACAACCGTGAGGAACTGAACAACTTGGCTTCGCGGTCCCTTTCCCTTTCACCCCAGATTCTCGTCGAGAAATCTTTGAAGGGCTGGAAAGAGGTCGAGTACGAGGTCGTGCGCGATGCCGAGGACAATTGTATTACAGTTTGTAATATGGAAAACTTTGATCCGCTTGGAATCCATACCGGAGACAGTATCGTTGTGGCGCCCAGTCAGACGCTGAGTGACGAGGAGTACCACATGCTGCGCACCGCTGCCATCAAAATTGTTCGACATCTTGGAGTTGTGGGCGAGTGCAATGTCCAGTACGCTCTGCAGCCAGATGGCCTTGATTACCGTGTGATCGAAGTCAACGCCCGTCTGTCTCGGTCGTCGGCTCTCGCATCCAAGGCTACCGGTTACCCTCTCGCTTATACTGCTGCAAAGATTGGTCTGGGGCATACTCTTCCCGAACTCCCGAATGCTGTGACCAAGACGACCACGGCCAACTTCGAACCCAGTCTGGATTACATCGTGGTCAAAATTCCTCGATGGGACTTATCCAAGTTCCAACATGTCGATCGTCATATTGGCAGTGCCATGAAATCCGTCGGCGAAGTCATGGCAATCGGGCGCACGTTCGAAGAATCATTCCAGAAGGCTATCCGTCAGGTTGACCCACGGTATGTTGGCTTCCAGGGCGACAAGTTTGATGACTTGGACGACACCCTTCGCAACCCGACCGATCGACGATGGCTAGCTGTTGGTCAAGCGATGATCCACGAGAATTACTCCGTTGAAAAGATCCATGAGTTGACCAAAATCGACAAATGGTTCCTCTACAAGTTGCAAAACTTGAAAGAGACCATGGCAGAGATCCAGGATATCGGTTCCTTGGATGGCATCAAACACGAGTTGATGTTGAAGGCAAAGAAGCAGGGATTCTCCGACAAGCAGATTGCCATGTACACGAACTCGACGGAAAAGGAGGTTCGCGCACGCCGACAGAAGTTTGGCATCCGCCCTTGGGTGAAGAAGATTGATACGCTTGCTGCCGAATTCCCTGCTGACACCAACTACCTGTACACGACTTATAACGCCTCCTCCCACGACGTTACGTTCAATGACAATGGCACCATTATCCTTGGGTCTGGCGTGTACAGAATTGGTTCCTCTGTCGAATTCGACTGGTGCGCTGTGAACGCTACACTGACATTGCGAAGCATGGGCCAGAAGACTGTCATGATCAATGTAAGTTCAACCCATTCCGGGCTGCCTAGTGCCCTTCCAACTTGTTCTGGGCCGGAGAATTTATGCTAACTTTCTTATGAAGTATAACCCGGAGACATATTCAACCGATTTCGACACCGCCGATAAGCTCTACTTTGAGGAGTTGTCCTACGAGCGAGTGATGGATATCTACGAGCTTGAAGGTGCTACTGGTGTGGTTGTCAGTGTCGGAGGCCAACTTCCTCAAAACATCGCACTCCGTTTGCAAGAAGAAGGCAAGGCGAACGTCCTCGGCACGAATCCCGAAGATATTGACAAGGCCGAGGATCGTCACAAGTTCTCCCAGATTCTCGATTCAATCGGTGTGGATCAGCCGGCATGGAAAGAGCTGACTTCGGCTGCTGAGGCGGAAGCATTTGCCGATTCCGTGGGCTATCCTGTGCTGGTTCGGCCGTCATATGTTCTTTCTGGAGCCGCCATGTCCGTCATCTACACCCACGATGAATTGAAGGACAAGCTTGAACACGCCTCATCTGTGTCCCCTGACCACCCCGTTGTCATCACGAAGTTCATCGAAGGAGCCGAAGAAATTGACGTCGACGCGGTCGCGTCACAAGGAGAATTGATCTTGCACGCTGTATCTGAACATGTGGAGCCTGCAGGCGTTCACTCAGGTGATGCCACTCTGGTTCTCCCCCCTGTCAACCTCAGCGAGAGCATGATGGCCCGAATCAAGGAGATTGCGCAGAAAGTGGCCAAAGCATGGAATATCACGGGACCCTTCAACATGCAGATCATCAAGGCGGATGCGCCAGGTCAGGAACCTGCTCTGAAGGTGATCGAATGCAACCTACGTGCCTCCCGGTCTTTCCCATTCGTTAGCAAGGTCCTCGGAACCAACTTCATTGACACGGCTACCAAGGCATTGGTAGGCAAGGAGGTGCCTCAACCTCAAGACCTCATGGCCGAGAAGCGGGACTACCTGGCGACAAAGGTTCCGCAATTCTCTTGGACCCGTTTGGCCGGCGCAGACCCTTTCTTGGGAGTTGAGATGAGCAGTACCGGAGAGATTGCATGCTTTGGCAGAGATCTAATCGAGGCGTACTGGACCTCGCTTCAGTCGACCATGAACTTCCGAGTGCCTGAACCTGGCGAGGGTATTCTTTTGGGTGGATCCACCGAGTTGCCCGAGCTGCCGAAGATTGTCGAGTACCTCAAGCCCCTCGGGTATAAGTTCTACGCCGCAAGCGAGTCTGTGAAGAAACATCTGGAGAAATCCGGCGCGTCCATCGAAGTGATTGAGTTCCCCAAGACCGACAAGAACGAGCTTCGGAAGGTGTTTGAGAAGTACGATATTAAGGGGGTGTTCAACCTTGCAAAGACTCGCGGAAAGACATTGTTGGATGAGGATTATGTGATGAGAAGGAACGCTGTCGACTTTGGAGTGCCTTTGTTCATGGAGCGCAAGGTATGTTGACTGACTATCCCGCCCGTGTTCCGATTGCTGACTAACCACGCTCTACAGACTGCTTTGCTGTTTGCCCAATGCATGAACGAGAAATTGCCCCGCAAGGAAGGCATTCCTCCCGAGGTCAAGAGCTGGAGCGAATTTACCGGCCACAAGATGATGTGAGGTCGAGGAATGATTTATTAGAAAGGGCGGCAAGACTTGCAGAGCAGATCATGTGATTACAGATATGTCCAAGCTGCGTACTCTGGTAGTAGAGAGACTGTCCGACAAGACTAGATAAAAGTTTTTAGAAAAGACGAATCTGGGTATGGGAGGAGAGGTGGGATCTTCGACGTTCTATGGAAGCGTGGGCGGTCATCGGATTGTAGATCGTCGTCCATAACCGCAAAGACTCTTGTGGGAACGACGAGGTGACAGAGGCTGTGCTACTGTTGAGGCTGGATTGCTCGAGGCCCAGACAAGTGGCCTTGGGAGTCCGTAGCTTCTGCTTGGGCTGAGGTTGTGTCTGTGCGAGTTTTAGAATAGTTCGGCCGGGCCCAGTTGAAACCGCAAGTGTCTAAACCCCTTGTCGTGGACAAGTTTTATCATAATGGTCATTGCAAGTCGTCGTCGATGATCTAGTCCCTTGGGCACAAGGCTGGAGAGGACAGGGGCGGCACGATGTGAGAGTCTGTCTCGATGACATAATCACGGTGACTTCATTATGCAGGGCTCGGGAGGCCCTTGTTCGCCTGACTTTCCCCGATACTTTTCCAATGGAATGTTGACTGATTGCGCCCGTGTCGCGCAAATCATTCATGGTCGTGCAACACGTCGACGTCGCACGCTCTCACCAGTGTTAGGATATATTGACGCTTCGGACGTCAGAGGGGCCAAGTTTAAACCTTTACACTCTGCAAAAAGCCTCAGAAATATGGCATATTCAACTCTCCGGTGACAAATTCCCCTGTCCGTCTCCTCCTTCGGCCCTCCGAGTCTCTTCCCTCGAGCATGAGTTCTCCGGCAACGGTCAGTCGCCGTAAAGGCAAGAAAAAGGACGACGTCGATGGCACTCATATATCCAATGGCGTCGTTCAAGCAGATGGGAGCGCCGAGCCGATATCTGTCGCGAAACCCTCACAAACTGAGCGCTCAACTACAAAAGACGGCCGCGCGAGTGCCAACACCGTGACGACGTCCAAAACGACGTCCATTCTTCAGATTTGGGCGCCTACCCTCCTCCTCATCTTCGGCGGCTGCTGTTCCAACGTGTACACGCTGGAAGCCCTAATCCAAGCCTCTCCCTCTTCCGGCCCCTTGATCACGGCATTTCAGTTTCTGATGGTAGCTCTAGCCACAGCACCACGCCATCTGTCATTTTCTCGCGGCTGGCGGAACCTGTACCTCCGCGAACGCGCGATTCCTTTACGCCGATGGATCGTGTACACGGCATATTTTCTGAGCATCAATATCCTGAACAATATGGCGTTCAAGTACCAGATCAGCATACCTCTGCATATCATCCTCCGGTCAGCGGGGCCCGTGACCACAATGGCAGTGGGCAGACTGTGGGGCGGCAAGCGGTATCCCGTGCAAAAAGTCGTGGCTGTGGTCCTGTTGTTTGTGGGTGTGGTTGTGGCAGCCATCTCGGATGCCTGGTCAAAGCAGCAGCAGCAGCCTCACTATAATGCAAGCATCTCGGCCGCCGAACTCGAAGTCGAAGCAGCAGAAGAAGCAGAAGCATATTTGTCTAGCACTGAAACCTCAACGTCGGGCATCTCCTCGCAGGCCCCTGGGTTTGCGTTGTTGGTCTCCGCTTTGGTTCTGTCCGCGTGCATGGGATTGTACGCTGATGACATGTACGCGACGTACGGACGGTCCGGCGACATCACGGCCGAGACATTGTTCTACAGCCACGCCATGTCTCTGCCGTTTTTTGCCAGTCAAGCCAAATCGCTGATGCAGGACTTGGCCAGCCTTGCATCGATACATCAAGGGCCTAATACTAGCATTGTTGACACTGACCACGGCACCCAAAAATTTCTATCATCTTCGTCATCTTCATTTTCCTGGTTGGCCAGTACTACTACTACTACTACTACTCAGGAGAATCATTCTACTACTAGTAGCAACACATGTTCGCCGACAAATGCAAACTTGGACTTGAGCCTGGCATGGACGACCATGACGGGATTATTCCTGCCCCTTTTCGGCAACAAATCCCCCGTCGGGACCGGGGACACCACAACAACGACTTTCTCTTTCCCTTGTATTGCAAATCAAATTCCTCGACCAGTCTTCCTCCTTCTTCTCAACGCCACCACGCAACTCTTGTGCATTGTCGGCGTGAATCGTCTTTCTGCTCAATCTTCTTCTCTGACCGTCAGCATCGTCTTGAATATCCGCAAACTCGCCAGTCTGGTCTTGAGTATCTGGTTGTTTGGGAATACTTTGCCATCGGGCGTTTTGCTGGGCGCCGTTGTCGTCTTTGTTGGGGGTGGTTTGTATGCTCTACCTACTACCTCCGGAGCCAAATCCGGGGCCAAATCCGGGGCCAGAACCGGTGCTGGACTTGGGGATGGGAGTGACAAGAAGAACCAGAACCAGAACCATACCCAACAACTCGAACTGGGAGATAAACAGAAGAAGACAGAAAAGACCAAACAAGGCTGAGGTAATTAACTACCTTATCTAGGGGAAAAACAACGCTTCCGCGCCTCGTATTTCACGGAGCATCAGCGTCTGGAAAACGAGAGTCATGCGAACTGGCGACAGAAACCCAATTGTCGAATTGTCGGACTACCACAACCCAGCAAATAGACAATCCAGAGCATAAACATGAGTAGATAAATAGAAGACACAGTCTGCAGACCACCGAGCGCTAGCCGTTGCTTTTGACATGCACGCGACCATAATAGACCTCGCTTGCTTGCTTTGGAAACAATGTCGATGATGATGTAGGATCCTGCCTTATGAAACAACATTGTATACCGTTACACTAGGCTTATTCTGTTTTCAATGATGAATAAAATCTTTTGGGGGGTTTTTTCTGGGTTTCCCGTTCCTTGGTTTCCTCTGGGACTCGAGCGCTGCGAGAAACTCGACGCGGAGGAGGCAGGTCTGGGGAGGAAAGTGACTAGAAATCAAGTGGTTGACATGTAATGTGCTGTGCGATATTTATGGGTGATGGACATTCAACATGCATCCCTCCCCCCGAGCCGCGTTAATTTCACTACAAGTAGACACAAACAGTTGGGACAGGACTATGTAATGTTAAACCACTTCCAAGTTTTGAGAAAATCAATTTCGATACACTTCATCCAGACAGACGAACCAACCGGCCAACCAACCAAACCCAGACCAACCCATCAACCAAGCAATGAATGAATCAATCAATGAATCAACCTAGCCAGGCCTGCCAAAAGAAAAGTTCAAGTTCAAATCGTGTCTTTTCACTCCCTGCCCTGCTTCTACCAGTACTCTACTACACGTAAGCAGCATGATGAGCAGAACTAACACCAACACCACCAACACCGGCAGCACCACCAGTAGCACGACCATGACCAAGACCAAGTTGACCCGAAACCTGAGGCCGACCCTGACCCTGACTTTGACTATTATCAGACACCCCCCAACTAACAGGTCCAAACTGCTGCCCACTCTCCACCATATCAGCAAGCACTTCATGAAACGCCTCGGTGACCTGCTCCAAAACCTCCCGACGGTCCCATAGCCCACGCGTTCTCCACAACGTGTCCATCAACACCGAATTCACCTGCTCCAACTGCTCGACCGAAAGACCGCTAGTCTTGTCGGTGATTTCGGCGTGGAATCGGTCCAGACTGCCTTCTTCGACCTGGACGAGGTTGGGACGGTTTTCTTCGCGATTTTCTTCGAAATGAACCTGCTGGGAAGAGGCCCGCCGAGTCTGAGGGGCTGTATCCTCATCGGATGGATTGAGCAAGTCCTGGATCTGGTTTCCGTGTCCATGTCCGTGCTGGCCGCCGTTGGTGGCAGACCCAGGAAATGCCGGGACAGGCGGAAGTGTTGTTTGTCCTTGCGACGACGACGCCTGTGGCGGCGG